CGTCCCACGTATGTGGTGGCTTGGAGAAGTGGCGCGCCACAGGGTGTCCGGGGAGATTGAGTCGGACACTTTGAAGGTGCTCAGAATATCGGTCAGCCAAACGACGCTTCGTTTCGCCGATGTAGTGGACACCGCATAGTTGGCAGGATATACGATACACAAGGTTAGTGGATACGCAAGTGAATTGTCCCCTGGGTGTATAACTGCCTTTGGGACCGTCGATTGGGGGTGGATTGTGGATGGACCTGCACGTATTACTGCGTGGGCGATTGCAAGCTGTGGTGCTGGTGTTGATGTCGTTAACATCGGAGACTGGTAAGAGCATTGATCGGATTAAAGTCTGTCCAATGAACCGGTCACGTCTGAAAGCAACGAGGGGAGTTGAGTCGTTGTTGAAGATGTGGCTGGTCAAAGGATCAACTTGTAGCGTGCGGAACTTTTCAGGAAGATAGCACGAACCCGCAGGTTAAACGGGTGGTAGGAGAGGACCAAAGGGATGCGCTTGTCTGCATCCTTAGCTGATGGAGTACCGTAAGTGCTTTCTTGCGGGTAATGGCAGAAACTCGACGCAAGGCCTTTGATATGATGCCCCTGGGGTACCCTCTGTCCATGAAAAATGTGACCATCGTAGAAGCTTGTTGCCTGAAATCGTTGTCATTGCTACAATTGCGTCGTAGTCTGAGGAGCTGTAAGGAATAGAATCCTTAAAAGACTGTGGATGGGAGGAGTCGTATTGCAGATAGCTGTGGGAGTCAGTTGGCTTGTAGAACATGGAGTTTACCAACCGTTCACCATCAATCCGAAGTTGAATGTGGAGGAAGGAGAGTGTGGTCTCTGATACCTCCGAGGTGAATTGCAGGGCAGGATGATATTTGCCGACAAATTCAATGAAGATGTTCAGTTCCTCCCTTGTGGATGATATTACACCAACTATGTCATCTATGTACCTTCTGTAGAGCAGAGGCAATGGGCTAGTGTAGTCTTTGAACAGGTTAGCTTCGACATACCCGACGAAAAGGCAGGTGTAACTTGGCCCCATGCGCGTACCCATAGCGACTCCACTTTGCTGTGCATAGTGTCTGTTGTTGAAGGTGAAGTTGTTGAGCTTCAGAACTAGTTCTACCAATTTGTTGTTCCAAGAATTAAAGGGCAAGAGTGCACTTCATTTTTTGTAATACCGGAATTCATCAATGGAATTTACTTCCAAACAGCATCAAATGTTCCAACAATCTTCCTCATTTTAAAAGGGCAGTGAAAACACATCTCTGTTCGCATTAATTTTGTTTTTTAAGCAGCTGAGATTTTTGTGATTTCTGTGATTTTTTCTTTAAATTATTTTTCTGTTGCTAGATCCAGTGAATTTTTTTGGAACTTTTTGTATTTGTACTTGTACTTGCATGTGTGTTTTTAAGGACCCCGATGGAATTAAGCCGTCTTATAAACAGCTTTTTGGGTTATCCTTGGCTTTGTATTTACATGAAATACGTTTGTTTTTTATACCATTGTATGTTTGTTTGTTTTTGCCAAAATAAATAAATAAAATAAAAAAGTTCTGCAAGATGGACGAGTGTCGTAGATGATGGCATGGGGTTCGGCCGTCGCTTGAGGAAGTATTGCAAGGCTACCAAACCGTCCGCGTGGGGGATGGAGGTATAGAGAGACTTCACATCCATAGTGAAAAGGTGCTTGTTGGCAGAGGGCACAAATCTGAAATCTTCAAACAGCCGGAGAGCATAATTGATAGAATAATCCAGGGTCTTCATTTTAGATATTATGTGCAAACTCATGGACCCTTCCTTCCGGTTGAAACCGGAAGTGCCTTGTAATTTAAAATTGGTGAAGGGTGTATGCTCTGGCTAAGTTGTTATTTCCAAATAAATTATATTTATAGATGGAAATTGATGCGACGTCATCACGTGACTTGTGACATCATAATTCAAAGCCCTATGAGAATGAAATACATATATGACACCATTTATTAAAAACAGAACTACACATCCTTCCTGGATAGAACTAGTTGAAACTTTACATGTCACATGTCACAAAAAGTTACCGAAACAGCCCTGTGTTTGTCCACAAACATAAGTCAAACATAAATCAGGCGCGGATCCAGAGGAAGGGGGAGGGGTCCACCCCCCCCCCAGCTACAACTCATTTTATTTCCATAGAAATATACATAACAAGTAATGTGAAACTCCTCCCGCTCTGACACCCCAAATAATTATACTGGTAATAATGTTCTTAATTTTTTAAAGTAAATTTAATGTGCAATTTACCGACTTTCGCTGACATCGTGTAACCGACTTTTCATAAACATTTTGCATTGCAAAGACTTGACTTTTTCGTCCCATGCAAGTGATGTATTTGATAACAGTCCTGTATGATCTTCGACAGAATCTAGTCATAATGCCAATATGTGTTGAGATTTGGAATTTGCTAAAGGAATTACGGATCGCTAAAACTACTAAGCAGGGATATCGTGGAGGTGCAAAGCAACAACGACCCATACAGACTATTCTGAGACAAAGGAAGGCCGCCATTACACCCTTTGGCATTCGCTCAACCTGTTCCATAAATCTTGTTCCCGTACGAAAGGCAGAAACAATCTTTGCTATTATGTAATCCCTGCTCACTAAACAATAGAAACGACGAGCTGAGCGCAATCTTAGACAACAACAACGTGGAAGTTTCCGCAATAACAGAGACATGGTTCACTGCCGACCAGCAAGTTGACCTGAATAAAATACATGGCTACAACCTTTTTTCCAGACCACAACAAGATCGACGCAGTGGGGACGTGGCATCATACGCCGGAGAGAATATGAATGGCAGGTTGCTCGATGATGTCAACGTTCCAGAACCATCAAAACACTGTGGGTGTCTGGCGTCTCACCTTCCACGAGATGCCTGCAAAATCATTATCGGTGTGATATATTATCCTCCTCGAAGTCCAATTGCACCGAAACTGATCGACCATATGAGCTCCACTATAGACAACATACTGTCCCAACAACCTGACACGGGAGTTTTTATTATGGGCGATTTAAACCGTCTTGAGACCGACAACATGTTTTCAAGAACATCTGCACAGGTTGTAGATCGACCGACACGCTGTGACGCCATCTTGGACAAAGTTTGCACTAACGTGTCGTAGGAATACCACCCTGCCGTGATCTTACCGCCCACCGGCCTGAGCAACCACGACTGTGTTCTCCTGCTACCAAAGGCCCCCAAAAAACTCCACCTCGCAGTATCTACATGTATGCGAGACAGTAACATACGCAAGTATGGATACTGGATCTCCAATCACAGGTGGCCAGAAGTGTACGAAGCTCCCAACACCAAAACCAAATGTTCTGCCTTCTACGGAACTATCCAACAATCCATTGATCTGTACTTCCCACTGTGAGATGCCAAGTCACATCAGCGCAAAAAACAGTGGATGACCCCACAAATTAAGTCACTCATCGCTCAGAGGCAGAAAGCTTTCAGCAAGAAGCACAGACTCCTTTGGCATCAGCTGGAGAACAAGGTGATTAGAACAATTCGCACTGCAAAGAAAACTACCTCCGTCAATAGAGTGCAACACTGGAAGAAAACATCTCCAGCTGAATGGTACAGGCACATTCATGTGATGTCTGGCCAAACTTCTGGTACAAACAACATCTTTGTCCCTGACGTCGATCATCAGAACTACAAGGCAATAGCGAACGCCATCTGCAGTCAATTTGCTACTGTTGAGGGGAATATTCCTCCTCCCGACAGGGCTTCCCTACCTTCATATCTACCCGCACAGCAACTTTTTTGAGTCCAGCCCTACGAAGTCTGCTCTCAACTAAGACATCTTAAACAGAGGAAGTCTTGTGGACCAGATGGGATTTCAGCGAGGTTCATTAAACTGTATTCACATGAACGCTCAACGCCACTCTGCCATATCATTAACACCCCACTTCACGACAAAGTAGTACCGGCAGAAAGGAAACGAGCACACGTTGTCGCTGTTCCTAAATCCACACCCGCTTCACTTGATAATCTACGTCCCATCGCGCTGACTGACCACTTCGCTAAAACCACGGAACACTTCAAACCGTAGCTCACGAAACACAACGCTTCATGGGAAACCAGTTGGACAAGAAACAGTTCGGGAATCTTCGCGGAGTTTCGACCATGCACTGCCTTTTGGATTTCATGAACACCTTGCACAGTCATGTTTTTATTTCAATGACAGTTTTATGTAACTCGTTGAGTCTTAATTTTTTATACATATCTTATTGCAATCTTGTGATGAGATATTTCTATGGTTCATGTAATTCAATATCTTAATCAGCATTCACAGAGTTTAATGTTTTTTACAGTGTTTTTTCCTCTTTAGCAGTATGCATTTTACCAACAATGATTCATCTTGAATTTGATCCCTGTAAATCTGCCTGGTGCAGTAACACATTTTAATCTTCCCATGATTTTGTTTAACTTTCAGACTAATGGATCTAAAAACGTTTCCAGCTGTAACTTTCTCAGAAGTCCAAATAAGATCTGCTGGCCTGTGCATGATTGACAGACCTTCAATTAAACTGCTCGTGTTAATGTAAGCTTTTACATGTTCATGTACTGGTATGTCAATTTTTTTTCCAGCAATTCATGACTGTATACTTTTGGTTCAGTAAAATTAGCTGTCCTGTCCCACTTGAGATCATTCCCTGATAATATACATGTACCTTTATCATGCTGTCACCATTTTAGTCATGTTTCCTGTATCCAATAACAATATTGAATGATAACGTGTTTTTGCGCAAAAAGGAATCAGACTATTTTTTTTCCCAGCCTCGCTTTGGTTACGTTGATTTGAATGGGAAAAATCCAAATGGCCGCAACATGATATTGGTCCAATGGATAACTTTAGCTTCACTCTCATCAAAATATTAACCCTGGCACATGGACCTCATTACACAGCTGATAATGCATTTTGAAATTTATCCAACACATTAAGTTGCTATACTTACGTTGGCAGATCTTGTCTTTAACATATCGTTTCTATTTCCTTTTTTAAAGGGGTTTCCGTGCATCAAGTACACTTGGCATGTTTGGCTCGACCTTCACATCCAGTCACATTCTGAAATCACAAAAACAAAAATCCGTTGATGATAGCTCTAAAATGGAATGGGATCAGAAGACATGCTATGTGGGTGTCATTTTAGCTGTTGAGGTTGGCAACTTATGTGTGCATGTAACATTGGCCAACGGACATGTACATTTGTACATACGTATGTATGTAGGATGTGCAAAACAATCATTATCAATTCTGAGTAACATAGCTATCAGATAGAATTTTGCCATACTGCCAGTTGTAGCCCAGAGACTAGGTAATTGGTTGAGGAAATGCCATTGCACCTCTACAGAAGTCGGCCCATTGAAGAAGAGGCTGCACACTGAAGTGTTCAGCTATTGAGCTGTTCCTTCAACGTGAGACCAGTTGATCTGACTACGACAGGGTGTATAACCACCTTTACGAGCCACACCTTGATATTCGTCTCTTTTTTTGGCAAATTCCCTTCTGACGTAACATTGCTGTCTACAGGGATGTTACATTGATGATATAGCATCTCAGTGTTATTTGTCTATGGTGACGATGTCTAGTTTGTTGGTCATGGTGGTATGGTCTGCTGGCAACCGTGGTCCACAGCAGCTTTATGATATCATTTTCTGCAACAAGCAGAGTATTGTGTTCGCTACCATCTTGGGTATAGCATAAATGCCTGTCTGGTGACATAGGTTCCAGTGGATGATGGATGCTACTTGGTTGAGTCTCTCCAAGTAGTGCATGGCTGAAATAATCTTAATCCACTGATGACGTATCGGTAATTGTTACATCACATTTGGCACATTTCGGGCAACCTGCAGGTCAAGGATGTTCTTTTCATGTTGGTGCGCATGACTTGATCTTGGATTGCCACATGGCATTCCCTCCGTTTCTGATATTAGTTGACCATACTGGAGCTAGTACCGGTAGGAAGGTTCAGCTGCTGCATGAACATCAACCATTGTGCTGTGTTGACTGTGCAGAGGTTAGGCTTTCCATTTATTCTTCAAGTCATCTGCAAGGTATTGGTGGTACTTAAAATTCAGTTTTAAATGGGCATGCAGAGGTCACCAATATCAGCCGTGTTGAAGATAACATTGCCTGTTTGGTGATAGAACGAATGGGCTTGCATAGTTTTGCTATTTCGCCGCTGAGTATGTGGAGCAGACGACCATCGTTGTCTTTGATGTACATTGTAACTAGCCAAAATCATTATTACATTCCTTCCAGCCAGAAGGTATGGATTTGTTCATGGCCAAGGACTCCTCCAATTTGTTGCCGACTTGAGAACCTTTCCAAAGTCACCAACAGTGATTGTTTCCTTCTTTTGAGCTTACAAATGTCTTTGGTTTCTTAAAAGTTGTCTCGCTAACCAATCAGCTTCTATAGGTTATGGGTGGTTGCATCTTCAATGATGACACTTTCAATTTTTTTATAAAGTGAAAAGGGCTCCTGAAATGCACAAGATCAGCTTAAAGAGTTGAAATAACTCAGTTAATTGAATTTTCCTCACCAGTACCAAATTGTTACTACAGCATGAAAAATTATCTACAAGTTGAATTTTTTTTTTTAAACTAGATTTGTATTATCAAGAAGGGATTAAAATATAAAAAGTATTGCATGGAATGTTTGTTTCATGCACTTTACTCTTTTATGTGACGTAAAAGTTAAGGACATAATATTTGCAATAATAAGAATTTACTGCCCATTTTCTGGATCTGGTACAATTTATGAAATTGCAAGCCATTCCACCACATGACAGAGTGGCACTCCATTAATTCGTCTTATTTCTGAGGAATGCTAACTTTGTACAATAGTAACTAAGCCTCATATGTAAGTACCGGTACTTGACACAAGGTGAAATTTCAGTTCAAAAAATGCAGTGGATTTGCCCAAAGTGAAGGTATAGAATACCCCCCCCCCCCCTAATGGTTCTACTTGGGCAAATGGGGGAACAATGTCGTAGCACCCAGGAGGAAAACCTCCTAATGCAGTCAGGATTATACAAATAATGAATGTTTATGATTGCAATGGTGAGAATATTTTCATGAGTTGAAAGATTGAATGTTCCATTCAATGAGGCGAAGCCAAGTTGAATGGAACATTCCATCTTTTAACGGGTTGTCCGTGTCACATTTATTTTATTCGTTGTATCGTGCTGTTTGTCTTGTTACGTTAATTTTAGCCTAATCATCCCAAAGAAATTAGCCCTAGACCGCGGGGACTCGTTACATTGGTGGCAGCGGTGGGAAATTTGTGGCTAAAATTACAGTAGTTTGGTTGTTTGAAAATCACAGCGTTAGGTTCAGCAGTCACCTGACGAAAGATTTACTCTCCGACAGCTTTCAGAGGTGTTTAACACGGCGGTGGTTTGACCGAGCCGTTTAGTCCCTGGGCCATTTAATCGCAAAATTTTCTGATTAATCTTAATATTATTTTCTGTTGTAGGGTACCTTGGGACATCCAAAAATGGTGCTCTTACATGTACATGTAAGTTGCACAGCCGGTATTTTTGCCTTCAAGCTAAAAAAAACCTGATATTTTTGGAGCTTATTTTTTGTAGGGAATTCAAGTTCTGACTCGCCAAAAATGACGTCCTGGCAATGTTTAAGACCTTCCACTATCATAGCAGGAATGGGTCTGGCAAAAACCTTACTCCACAAATAAAAAGCAACTGATTTTAGTAACAAAAAATGCTGAATCGGCATTTTTTAAAAATGCAATTCTGTTCAAGCTTTCAAGCTGAAAAAAGATTTGTAGGTCATTTTCATCAAGGTTAACCTTAGTATCGGTATACAGACATGCTTATAAAATGTAGCCATGGTGATTCATGGGGTGTCGAAGAACAAGGTGGTTAAAAGTTAGAGGGAATGGGGGGGGGGGGAGGCAGGGTTTGGACTATCAACAATATCTATGCAAATCGAATTCCAAGTACATGCGCATTTGTGGTTTATTTTGTGCAATTGGGTGGAAATATGTCTTGGGAACACCATAGGTACGATGTACATTTGCTAAATTAATAGGCCTACAGGTATACATGTATATACGCACTGGGATAATTTTTTTTGGGGGGGGAGGGAACCATGAACCCGCCTTCCCCACGATCCCCCCTCCCCGGGGCCATGCCCCACATTCTCGTTAAGTTGGACCTGTCACTGACCAACATGCCTAGGCTGCACTAAAAACGTGTGAAATACATGTACAAACCAATCCATTTTTCAACGAATAAATTGGACACGATTGGGAATGTGGGGCAGGGCCCGGCTGTTTTGAGTGATTTAGGGATAGGGGAAGCAAAAATGGCTGTGGTGAGCTCAATTTTCAAGACAGAAAGTTTATCTACCACTTAAATGAATGATTGTGGTCTCAGGCAGTTTTTAAATTATAAATAAAGTGTGTATTTTTGGAAAAGGTGTGAGTTTCAAACACATTTCTGTCCCAAAACAGGGCAAAGTTACAGGATTTGGGGGGTGTCCGCAAAGCAAAACATGCACTGTGAACACAAATACGGATAAACTTGGGACAAACCGTATTTTTCCTTGTTTACCCATCCCATCAGGATGGTAAAAAGTGCAAACAGTTCACGACGGGACCATTTTTGAGAGAGCAGAGGCCAAAAATATGATTTTAGCCATTTTTCAAAAAAGAAGCTCCAAAAATATCATTTTTTTTTTAGCTGGAAGGCAAAAATACCGGCTGTGCAACTTAAGCGCACCATTTTTGGATGTCCCAAGATACCCTACAACAGAAAATAATATTAAGATTAATCAGAAAATTTTGTGATTAAATGGCCCTATCCCAGGACTATTAGTTGCTCATCAACACGTTTGTCCATCATTTGTAATTGGTGCATTTTGTTTGTTGAAGCAACAAAAGTGTTCAAAATCGAATGAAGGATACTGAACAACTAACCTGATGAAGTTTCAGTTCAGTTTCAGTTCAGCTTCAGCTGTAAATTCTGAGAAAAACAGCATTCTAGGATCTCAATTTCAAATCAAAAGTTGCTGAATCATGTTTTGAATTGTTTTGAATTGCAGCTATACGCGATGTCGCGCACTGATCTGACGAATTACAGCAACCGCGCGCGCCTGTGCGTCGTGCCAATGCTTGCGCGCGATGCGCCAAATAACAAAACGAACTACTAATTTAAATTTCCTACGGTGCGTCTTAAGTCGCACCGTTGGAAAGGCCTTCTTTTCGTTGATTACTTCAAAATGATAGCTTACCAGAAAGATTAATTTCACAGGGAGTTTAGTCCATTTACTATCTTTCAACCAAGTATGTTTTTCAACAATAATATGCCAGTTACTTTTTCGGATGGCTGCAAATGATGGACTATAGCTTTAACAGAGCAGACTCCAACCCGGCAGTGGTTTGACCGAGCCGCCAGGTGACAGTTGGGTAGGCCTACGAAGCGGAACACGGCAGTGGTTTGACCGAGCCGTGGTGCGGTAGTAAGGGAGGTCTACGAAGCAGAACACGGCAGTGGTTTGACCGAGCCGTGGTGCGGTAGTAAGGGAGGTCTACGAAGCAGAACACGGCAGTGGTTTGACCGAGCCGTGGTGCGGTAGTAAGGGAGGTCTACGAAGCAGAACACGGCAGTGGTTTGACCGAGCCGTGGTGCGGTAGTAAGGGAGGTCTACGAAGCAGAACACGGCAGTGGTTTGACCGAGTCGTACAATCGAGCCAGTGTGGGTAAAGTTGCGTACATCACGGAAGCGGTTTGACCAAGCTGTTTCCTGCACAATGCAAAATCCGGGAGCTCCAGATCAGGAAAGCGGCTCTCTATGAATAAACAAGATCTGTGCTATTTCTTAGCAGGGGAGTACCAAAGGGTCACTCAGGAAAAAGCAACATTGTCCCAAACACTGGGTCGATTTGGCAGGTCACTGTTGTGATACTTCATGAGCACTACTTTGTATGCGCGCAAGCACATTAGGTGAACAGTTCGCCCGCGCTCACTCTTACATTATGTCTGATGAATAAAGCTGCAGTGGCACAGAACCTGAGAATAATCTCCTCTGAGTTCT